TAGTGATCTCGGTCGCCATCTCAATAGTCTGACGGAGATCCTGAAACTCTCGCGCCAGCTGCTGCACCTCAATCATCGGTGCAAACTTAGCTCGGAACCTGGTAGAGAAATCACACTAGGTCATCGAATCAATAGCATCACTTCCCACAAAATGCCTTAACTCCTCCCACCAATCATGAACCCTATCCTTTAGGAAGCAGGATGCTAGTTTGACCTTGTTCCCCTTGGGACAACAACTGGTACGGAAGGCATTGGAAACATCTTCCAACCACTTGTTGCTCGCAATAGGGTCCCTAGCCCCATGATAGTCTGGCGCTCCACAAACCCGAAACTCCATGAAGATCAGAGAGCACGTCCTAATTAAATCCACAATCTCAGCGTGAAAGGTGTTTAATCTTTCATCAAGAAGCTCTAGAATGCCCTCCTTGACCGAGCCAGAAATCACAGGAGTCTGGTCAAGGATACTGCATGTAATCTCAGATGAGATGAACTCCCTCCTTTGGTCATCAAGCTGCCCGGCTCCAGAACCCGGGCGTGATGCCTCCCCGACACCATAACTGCCCACTGGCCTGCCTCGCAATACCACCATACTGAAAATAGATCATAAAACTATTAGAACAAGCATCAATTCATATCGGGGAAATCCTAACTACACAAGATCCCATGATTCATTACAACCCTCCTTGAATCGAGTACGGATCCTATGGTTCCAGTAGTACGGGCCCATACTTCCTTCAAAATCTATTCGTACTTTCCTCAAGAAGTGCCTTCATTCAGCCAAGTTACTCTATAACCAACAGATCCCTCACATCTAGGGCTTACAGTACCAAATCTCATTCTAGGTTCTCCTAGGACAGACTCCACTCCACTCTCTGCTATCAGCTATAAAAGGAACTCTCGCTAACCACCTCTAACTAGTTCATAAATACAATTACATATTACAAAAACTAGATAATTCTTCAAATGAAGGGTCTCTCCCTACAACGGTTGGACTCAAACAAGAGCTGCGCAATAGAGCTAAACCTAACCTTATGAAATTATGTAGTTTCCATAATATGTAACTTAGCATATCCGCTTACTAACTAGCTGAGGTTAGCATGAAATCCTAAAAGCACAAAGGAACTAGCATCCGAGCATCAAGTAAACAAAACTGAGCATAACCTAATAAGGCCATCCTATCACTGACTGATCAGTACTAGCATGCAAATTATAAGCTCATATAACAGGCATACAAAGGCATATCTCCTAGATCCTTTGCCATACTCTAGCATGCAATTCACAATTTAGAATTCATATCATATATAAACATGCATGGGTATTTTGGGATAACTTACTTGAGATCATCTGATTGCATGCACCACACCCTTTTCCCTTTTGAAATCATTTTTATAAAACTATATTCCTTTGAAAATTTCCACCAAATCCTTAGTTTGAGTTCAGACACACCCGAGGATGTGCCGAATCCCTCAAACAAAGGCTCTAATACCAACTTGTAACATACTAAAATATGGTCCCAATCCCTTAGATACCAATCAATATTTCAAAACCCCTTAAGGTCAAACTTGGTCAAAGTCAAAGTCAACTCTCTGAGTTGACTAAAATCGTCGAGTTATCCTTCAAATCACTGAGTTTCCATGAATCACAGAATCGTGATATTTCGAATCAACTCGTTGAGTTTCCCTTATAACTCATCGAGTTCCTCTTTTTTTTTCAATAGAATCGGAACAATCCAAAACCAACTTGTCGTGTTCAACCCACTTAGTGCATTAAGCCATTATTCTTCAAACTGAGCCCTTATATTCCAGATCTAGACTGATATTACGTCTGGAAGGGTAAAGTTTCCAACTTTACCCATGAAGAACCACTCCAAAGACATTAAGCTCAAACCCTAATCCAAAAAGGCTTATGACTTAATCCAAAAACCATCATATCTTCAAGATAAAGCTTATGAACACAGTTCTGGACCTTAAAGGCTAAAAGGTCACGTAAAGTCTTAAACTTTACTCACATGCATGGCGAAAAGAGGCTTAAAAGGCCAAAAACAAGGGCTTAGAAGATGCATGGAGTTCTTAGGGCCATAAAGTTGGCACATTTATGCCATGAAAGCTCCATAAGACCCTAGATCTGAAAGGGTTGCCTATATGGGACGACCAACTCCCAAAGGCCACTTCACTTGGGCAAAAACAAGCAAAAGAACACTAAGATGAAGATCTAAGCAACCATAAAGCAAGGTTGAGACTTTTTACCAGAAAGATGTCGAAAATGAAGAAAAGATTTTGGATCTAGCAACTCCTTGTATCTCCAAGCTTCTCCTTTCTTCCAATGGCTTCAAACACACAATATACTAAAAAATGGCTCATAATCTCACAAAGATGCTCTAGGGTTCCGAAGTTAGGGTTAAGACAATGGAGGCAGGGAATAAGGCTAATGTATAGAGCTTAAGTTGTTTAAATAGGGTGCACAACCCCGAAATTAAGGTTTCATTTCTTCCAGGCAACTTGTCGAGTTGAGGCATCCCAGCTCACCGAGTTGGCCACTTAAAAACACGCGGTCCAAACATTTCTACACAACGAGTTGGGGCTACCAACTCGTCGAGTAGCTCTATAAAATTGAACAGTTAGAAGTTAAAATACATATCAGGAACCAAGCGTTACTCTCTCTCTCTCTCTCACACACACACACATACACATTATATACTTCCAAGACCTTAACGTTGGTGAGAGAATATGAAATCTCTCTCTCTCTCTCTCTCTCTCTCTCTCTTACTTCATCATCGCTAAAGCTTCTAAAAAATCAAAACTCTAAACCTTGTTAGTGAAATTGACATAGTTCTTAACAATAACAAACATGTTTCTCTTTCTCCCTAACAATTTCCCACCAGATGGGGTTGTCGGTAAAAAAAGAAAAAGGAAAAGGAAGGAGGATTAGGTTTTCATTGGATCTAGCTTACCCTATCACATTTTCCTTTAATTACTATTAGAAAATAAACCCATGAGGGTTGTTAACGTATTCTCTACACAACCCTCACATATTCTTGTTTCTCTCATAAATGTTGTCGGATAATCCTTCTTTATCGAAAGAGAATAATACATTGTTGAACCCCATTTAAAATACCTTTTGCAAGTCTTGTGACTTTGTAAAGGGATTTGAGCTATTATGATGGATGGTGTAGGGTTTTACCAAAGAAGACAAAATCGCGGAGAATATGATGTTTCATGGATGTGGCATTGATTCTATGACATTAGAGGGGAGGGAAATAGGTGATGGTGGGTGTAAGGGTAGGGTTGATGGTGAAACATTCTGTTTTAAAAAGTAAAATAATAAATCAAGTAGATTTTTTTTAAAGAAATTGTAATAAAAGCAAGTTAGTCCTATCATATTTATTAGGGGCCAAAGATGAAATAAACTCAAATCATAGGATCATAAGGATTGTTAGCATTACAAATGAAAAAAAACGGATTTATTAAAAAAAACACATAACCATAGGGATCATTTATTTAATTTACTTCTAAAATAATGACATTTTGTAAATACAAATTATTATTATTATTGCTCTTTACACTTTTTAAAATTGATAGTTTTTTATTAGAAAAAAGGGAATTTAAAAGTTAGATTTAACCGTTAAGGACTATCCATATGATTTTTGGAAACCATATTAGATAAAGCTGAAGAGTTTTGAAAGATATCTATCTTCAACATGCCCGTTCTTAGAAGCACATGGACCATTTCTGATATCTTATGTTAAATTAATGGTGTTTTGAGAAACTGCTCATTTCCGTGTTACAAAGTACAAACATTTTCTTGATAATTTCAAACTTCGATGACCAAATTAAAAGTAAGGACAAAATTGGTTGTCGTACTTCTCATTTAACTCTATTAAATTTAATACTTTTGATGATCAATTTAAACAAAAAGATGTAAATCGCACATGCAAATTATGACAATCATTACAATTAGTACATCCTCATCAATTAGTGTAACAAGATTCAGCCTCAACCATAGAGCCCAACTTCCCCAAGATCCAAAGAGCAATAAACTTTATAATATATAAAGAATTCATCTACATTAGAAAATCAAGATCTTATACCATTCAGTCTGGTAATCAACTGTTATGATTTCAAAGCAAACCCTATTCTTTAGTACAATGGCTTTTGATGAACAGACGATAAAAAAGATTTCAACTTTCGGTTTATTAGTTTGTTTCCTAGAGGGAAAAAAAACTAGACAAGTAACAGCCTTTTGTTCTAATGAGTTGTCTTCATCAACCTTCAAGCAATTGTCACTATCTTCATAGAAGACACTTTTTGTGTGTGTTCTAGAAAAATAATTTAATTTTTTAATTGACAGAAAGATTTGCAGGATAGGGGACCATAAGCCAGAAAGAAGTACCAAAATTTGTTAATTTTTATTGAGCCTTAAAAATTCACATAACACTGTTGATTTGGGTAGTTGGTTGTACCATTAAGTACCACTCTCATTGCACGCATTCATTTTCAATTTTCATCCATCTATCTTTTTACCTTTAGCCATCGGATCAAATTCTTGAAATTTAGCCTAAGTTTCAAGAAACAAAATCTAGAGAGAAAGACACATCCAAGAAAGGGTTTTTAGCTTTACTAAGAAAGAATCAGATTCTGGCCTTTTTCTAGCAACATGGGTTTTTGGCAAAAAGCACAATCAAAATTCTAAAACAAAACATCAACTCGATGGGCTTTTTCAAGATTTTAATTTGCACACACAAAAAAAGAAATTAATGGCACATGGATCTTTATGAAATATCATCACAATGAAATATGGATTACTACCCGAAAAATCGTTTGAAAACGACGCATCATCCAGTGTGGCTCCCAGAAATCCGAGCAACGATGGAGGTTTAATGTTAAACGACGAAACTACCCTTCCTTTCTTCATCATGTTCCATTAGGGCACACTAATGAAAAAGCATATGAAGCAAGATTGCAAGAATTGGGTAAAAAGAGAGACAAAAATTGGAGCTCTCTCTTTCAAACCCCACATTATTCAAAAATTGACAATTTTCTAAACAAAGGGAAACATCCCATTTGCTCCTCTCATCTCATGGCCTTTCAAATTTCAATCAATCACACACACAAAGAATGTGTTGATTTGGTTGATATTGAAAAGATTCTTGTTTTACTAAAGTTGGGTGAGGAACAGTGAAATTATAACCAAAACAAATCACTTGCTCCGTTTTTAGCAGAGTATTTTTGATAATTATATAGCAAAAGAAGGCAACTGGCACAGTCACATACATGGTCTAAAAACATTAAATCCAGATAATTTAAAACAGGGTTTAGAGCTAAACAAAGAGCTCGATTCAAACATGAAAGCTAAATCTTAAAAACACCAGTGATGACTGAAGAACCTGTGAATGGATTCGGTTTCTTCTACTCACTGTGTAGCAGCCATTGAAGCTTTCTCCCCTCCTCTCTTTGCTTTGAAGTACAGCGATTGACGTAATTTTTCCTGTAATTATTGACGAAATTAAGAATAGATAATAAAATCAGGCGGAATTGAGAAGCGGGTGATGGTTTTTTTTTTTTTACCTGTTTGAGAGGATTATGGAGGATGAAGGTGAATCAATGGCGAGAATCGGAGGATGCAGAGGACGGCTTATCGGAGATGCCGTCGTGTTCCTCCTCTTCACCTTGAATTCGTGCTGGAATACGAAACCCGGAAAATCCACCTAAACCGGAGGCGAATCCGGACATGGAAGATGGGTGATGGAAAGCTAGGGTTGGTTGTTGATCGATGGCGACACCGGTGAACGGTGGCGGCGGGTCGATCCATGCACGAAACGAAGGTGCGTTACTGGACTGAAGGGGTCCCCTCTGAGAATTGTTGTTGAATAACTGATTGTTTGTTGTTTGACCGAACAACGGTTGCAGAAAAGGCGTCGACGGCGACGGCTGCGAACTGAAGACAAATCCGGCGGAAACAGCGTCTCCGCCTCCTACACCACCCCACGCCACCATTCTTTGAAACCCACCAGGCTGGTTGTCGGACCAACCCGACCCGTCAAAGAATATATTGTTATTGTTATTATTACCCTGTTCGTTTTGTTGGTGGTGATGGTGGTGGTTCTGGAGAATCGGATCTTGGAATGATTGAAGAGAAAGCCTCAGATCTTGACTTCGACTACTGGTTCTTGAAAGCAAATCCTGAGGTGGAAAACTTTGATGAAATTGCATACCTGAAGAAGTATTATTTCCTGGATTTGATGAAGCACCCATCGGAAAAAATGACTTGATTGTATCAGCTATAGAGTCGGAATCAAGAGACGGAGGCAAGAAGCTTGAGTTTTGTGAATTACCCATTTGATTATCAACAATACTATCATCTGGGTGTTGCTCAAAATGACTTAGTTGATGATGATTTGAGTTTTGTTGATCTGGGTTTTGCTCAAAATCTGCAATCGAGGTTTGAATTTGGGGTTGTCGTCGCCGTAGTGGCAGTGGGCTTCCATGCCGGAAGCTCCGCGAGTTCATCAATGGCAGCCTTGGCTTTTTTAATAAGCCAATCGACGGCTTTGCTTGGGCGGTCGTAACCAAGGCGGTCTTGGACGTCGTAGAATTGGATGGCGGTGTGAGCCGAGAGACGAACACGGCGGTCCCTTGGTCCTTTCGCTGTGCACACCTTGCTGTGTCGGTCTTTCCGGCCAGTGGAGCGTACAATGTGACCGCCCTGAACTTCCACAATCTCGCCACCGCCTCCGCCACCTGCGCCCCCTCAATCCCAATCTCGACGACCCACTTGCTTGCTGTTGCTGCTGCTGCTGCTGCTGCTGCTGTTGGAGTTGTTGGTTGTGATACTGATAACTTTCTCCCATTTTTTCCGGCAGCCTCGGTGCATATTCTTCTCCTTCTTGGGTCAGTTGGTCCACAGAAGAAGGTAAATAAGGGCGTTTCTTCTGTGGCCGCGGCGGCTGCCTTGCCGGACCACCTAATCCTCCGTGGAGAACACGGTTGTCGGGAGGTGGGATTTCTCGATTTTGTTGAAGCTGATGATGATTTTGATGGAATCCATGAAAACCTATCTGAATTTCTTGATCTTCTTCCTTGTCTTCTTGTCTTGAATTCAATAGTTGTTGATACAGATGAAGATGATGATGATTCCTCTGAGGATCCAGAATCACACCCTTACGATGATGAACAACCTCCTCCTGTTCCAGCTTTTTCAAAATCAACATAAAAAAACTAAAAACGTAATCAAATTCCACACTCCAACCCTAACCCCACCATTCACAGACAATTCTAAATCAAATTCCATCTCCAAATACAAACCCTAAAAATTGATGACATCAAAATCCAAGCCTAACCCATCTCCCCCTCTTCTCAATAAAAGCTTAAAGAAACAAGGAGGGGAGGGGAGTGCGAAGTGGGAAGTAGTAGTAAGTTTGCACAGCCACACAACAAATTTCAAGAAAGAAGAAGGAAAGAGGTGGGGAAGAAGAGAGAAGGAGGTTTATGTAGGGAGAGGGGAAGAAAACAGTGAAAGGAGGGAAAGAAGAATATTTACTTTTGTGGGGTCTACAAGGGGTGGCAGTGTTTGGAGGCTTTTAAAGATATTTGTGATCGTAAGTCGCACGTCCGATATATTTAGGGGGTCATTTTTAGTACGACTTAGGCCATGTCTAATCTTAACCATAGCATTTCTTGTTAAAACTATTTTAGTGTAATTTTTTTTTTTTTTTTGATAAATATGATGTTATAAATAAATAAAACTAGATATAATCTTATACCAAATATAATAATAAAAATTATCCTTAAGAAATTATTTATAATATATATAATGTGATTATATTATTATAATATAATGATTATTGTGAAAATTAATGAGTTAATTAGAAAACAATTATGAGGTTTAATGTATGATCATCATTGATAGGGGAGTAAATTCGAGCATATCTATGACAATCCGATATTTCGAATCAATGTAATAACCTAAAAAGTTAAAAATTGTAATCTCTTTTGATATAATGAAAATAGCGTCAAAAATAAAATGTTCAAAAGTCTCTTTTAGGTTGCCTAAAATGATAGTTATCATGTCAAGGTTTTTAGAAATATAAAGAACACTAAGATCCGAGTTATAACGAATAAGTTATGACCAACCTAAGATTCACAACAAAACCGTCAATACGATTAAATGTAAAACGCGAAGTTTTAATAAAATACTTTTGAACCTTAACTATCTAAATGAAAGTCGTAGATGTCATTAAACCGTGAACATACATAAAAAGAACGCTCAAATCTGACTTCGTATGAGTAAGTTATGATTTTTCGAAATTTCGGATATAGCAGTAAACAGCTAAAAACTCGAAATACAGATCGATGAATTTTTGGCCGAAACAATCTAAATGAGAATCGAAGATCTCAACGATAGTAGCGCAACGGTAAAAAATCTGACGAAAACGGATGACGGATAAAGACGTTATGGATTCATAATGGACTTTTCGTGTCCCGGCATGTTAAAATGATATTTTAAAAATAAAGTCAAAATTAGCCGCCGGAGTCTAAACGAGAGTTGTAAAGTATATTCTCACATTCGCTTGCAAATAAATAACGTCGAAAACGAAGCTCGTACGCGAAAGTTATGCATTTTACAAGTTCGAGACACAAAATCCGAGACTGTCAGGTTGGCCACGACATGGCACAGAGGGCCACGACGTGGCACCATGACTGATGGGTTTTCAGGCTTGGCAGAAGACGTCTCGTCCATGGAAGAGGATAGGATCGACTCCACGATGTGGGAAACCTTCTTGTCACGACGTGGGACCCAAAAATTGGGCTATAAATAGAGCTCAAAGGGTTCCGGGTTTCATTGCTCAATTCTCTTCTCTCTCGTGTCTAAGCTCTGCATTTTAACCCTCGAAGCCATCCCGAAGCCCCGGTCTTCACATCCAAGTTCCGAAGGAAGGTTTTACACTTCCAAGATTCTCGAGAATCCCGAGAAATCAACATTCTCCTGTCGAAGTTTTGCTCGGTTTTCATCTCACCGTCTTCACTCTATCAAGTGAGTTCATACCCCTATAGCTACGTTTTCAAATGCTTTGTAAATGCTTTTATACACTTTTAAGGAGGGGGGGGGGATTACAAGTAAACACACGATTATCCTCGTGTGAAAAACATCAATCTCTTGCTATACTTTTTGTTAAAATCAATCATATGTGATTTATAACTACCATACGAAAACATTCTCATACAACAAATCATGATAACACTTTGTCTTTTTGGAATGAAACATGTTATATAAATATCATACACTTTATTTATATTTTGAGTATAAATATTCAATAATGTTATACTTTACATACAAAGTCGACACTACACTAGGGTTTACCATACAAACGAAACATACTTTTGGGAAAACTATAATAGGTATAGCTTACTAGCTATTCAGGAGATTTTACATACTATGAGTACTATAGCAAAGAAATACTTTCATATACAAGAACTAATGGAATTTTGATACGTAAATCTATTTGATACTAAGTTTTGTGAGACATTCAACTTCACGTACTTTCAAGTATGCATTTAAAGTCTTGTATTATATACCATAATCTCTTATAGGGAGAGTGTGATATTTGTGTATAGATCTATATGGGATTGACAATCCCGCACCTAAATTGTTAGCTACAGTTAGACCGACAGGTCTAGGGTGACAAACTTCATAACATTCCAATGCCTAAAGAACGTTGTTACAGGCAGTCTAGGTCAATAGCATGGTTATAAAACTCACATGGAGTATTAAAAACACAATGATTTATGGGGTTATCAAATGTCTGAGTGATTTTATACATACATAAATCTATTATTCTAGGCATGAAAACTACTAATGCATTACAGTTTTAGAACTTTTAAAATACCACACACTCATGGAAAAATATTGGATTTTTCAGAAAAAAAAAAACTCAATGATTTTATACCAAACTTATAAATTTTTTATATAAACGCTTATGAACTCACCAACTTAATTGTTGACACTCTTTCAAAACTACTTGTATTTCTCAGGGATTCAGTAATACAGGTAAACCCTAACTTTTAGAGAAGTGACGCTAAGGCGTTAGTTTAAAACTCATTTTGTCATCATATTGTAATTTGTTTTGAATAAGTATCATTCAATAATGTAACTTTTAAATTATATATATGATGGTTGTTTTACTTTCTTCACTATGTATTCAACTGTTACGATACTACATGAAGTCATCCGCCCTCGAACGATTCTGCCGTTCTAGTTTGGGGGGGGGGGGGGTGACAGATTGGTATCAGAACATTGTTTATAATGAACTAAGTATATCAAACCACATAAGATATACAAACTATAAATGCATAGGGACTAAAACTCTCTAACAAAACGTTTTTTTACACATAAACCGCATTTCATTTAGCTTAAATTATTTTGGTCGTAAAAGCACAACTACATGCATACAACGAGTCATTTTCGTAGTTAGAACTATACAAGAAGTATTAAGACAAGTTGGACATTACGACTAGGCCTTGGAATATGTAATCAGATTTGGGACGAATATAGCCTGATCAACTATATTTATCCGAGATCGGACTAATGTATGTCGAGGAATGGTCGTAGTGAGCAACAAGTGAAAACTTACCAAAATTACACTAGTATCAAACATACAAACTTAAATACTATAGGGGTATTTGGTAAATACAATAGTTTAACTTACACGTCTAGATTTACATGTTAATGAAAATTCTAAACAATTCTCATACCTCTATTCTCGTAGAGACACAATGGCTGGATTCCATCCACCAGGGGATCCCTACTACCCGAATTAGGGAAATGGAGGATGGATAGAGGAGGACACGGAAGAGGATGAGGAACCTATAGAGTTAGAGGAAGGGGATGACTATATGACAGACTCAGAACCAGAAGTAATCAACCCACCAGTCGCCCAACCTCCCATAGTTAGGAGAAACTTTCAAGGACCAACTCCCATTTGGGGAAGTCACCTTCACCATTGGAGCCAACAACAAGGATTACGTTTTCCCTACGGTATGTGTCGGGACTTCTATAACGTCAGGGATGGAGATTCAGCCGACCGAGCACTCCCAATCATGGTGGGCAAACTAGCCAAGCAGTCCTATCAATTCGGGGTTCAAGCTAATCGGATTCGTGAAGTCAACGTGGTAGTACAAGTTCACACTTTCGACATCCGTCGACTGGACAAGTTGCAGGATGACACCCAACTCCGCGCCGACACATTCCAAGCACAACTGATTGCAGCCCTCTCTGAGATAAGGGAACAACAAGACGCCTTCGATAGGCGCCTTATGGAAGCAAAGCAATCAGACACGGAATCGAGCTCCAAGCGCAACCTACGTCACAAGTAGAACTTGCCCAAATCCCAAAATTTTGTTATAGAATAGGAACTCAGCTAAAAGTCTTACTTTTCATTAACTTTTGTATTGGAGACCCTTAGAAGGGTCGAAATTTTCCTAACCTCAAATGTAACTCAACGTATGTTTAATATATATGAAGAAATTCCTTTGTGTGTTAATTCTTTGAATACCACTCAGATTCATAAGTTTATCTATCACTATGCAAACTTTTATTATGAGTCAAGCTCTAAACCTTTGGTGGGTTAGTTAAATTCGAAAATTGATAAAAATAGCAAATTTATTAACACACAAATTATAATCATTAAAGACTTATGTTCTTCATTCTATTTCTCTAGCAGAACGATGCCGCCGTGTAGATCTACACGTCGTGTCAACAACGCAACACCTCCACCACCACCACCTCCATCAATAGATGACGCCGCCTTGATAGTTGTTGTGACAGCTGCAGTGTGACATCCTCAATTTCACGGCCAGAAAAGACCGATTTGTTTATGCTTTGTTTTAAAATCATAGTTATCTTTTAAAGAAAACGGTTGCGAAATTTGTCCCAAAAATAAAATATGATAACCATTTATCAAAAATATTTCTCAAAAATAATGTATTTTTATTAAATAATAAAACCTCGGGATGTCATGTTCCGATACAGATCAAAAGCATAAACAATATAAAATAGACCTTACAACAGTCATTTATAACCACTGATTTATAATCCAAAATCCTCGTCAAGTCCACCAACTTATACTCTTGTGCCATTACCTGTAATGCAAAGAAAACTGAGTGGGTCAGACTTGGGAGTCTGGTGAGTATATAGGGTTTTCAACCCACAATAATACATTTATTATATTCAATCATTAAACAATCAACCCAAATACCCATCTCCATTATCTCCTTTATTTCTTAAGGTTTTAC